TTTTTTTTTTTAAGCAGGATAGAAAGATGTTTGAAGACTAAGGGTCTAAGAAGTTAAAATCTCTAGGCTTTCTTACCTGAAAATAATCATGTTTTTCTGGGTTATCACATCACAGTAAAAGAAAGGGGGGGAGGGAAACCCAGCTTAAGTTTATAAAGATGTAAATAGCTGCTGTTAGAGAACCAGAAAAAAAAGTCACTATAGACATGGAGGACTGCCAAGTAGCTGTGAGAGAATCTGAAGTTCAAAGTTAGAGACTTCCATTTGAGTAAGATGTAGTAAATTATGGCAGTAATATGTGGTAAATTATCCTCCTAGAAAATAGGAAAAAAATTAAAACTCATATATGTTTAGTTCTTTTGCCCATTTGTTGATTGCGTTATTATCAGTGTTAAGATTTTTTGACTTTTAAATATATTCTGGATATTAATACTCTGTCAGAAGAATAGCTGGAAAATATTTCTCTCCCATTCTGTAAGTTCTCTCTTCATATACTTATGTTTCCTTTGTTGTACATAAGCCTTTAAATTTGATGCCATCCCACTTACTGATTCTTGGGTTTTATTACTTGAGTTTTAGGGGTCTTGATAAGGAAGTCAGTGACTGTAACGATAAGGTGAAGTGCTGACCCTATGTTTGATTCTAGCGATTGAAAAGTTTCTTAATTCCAAGATCTTTGAACCACTTGAGTTGACTTTTGTGCAGGTTAAGGGATAGGAATCTAGTTTCATTCCTCTACATATAGATAGCCTTTTAAATAAATGCTGATGGGAAAACCTGATACTTTTATCCAACATACGTTTTTGGCTCTTTTGGCAAGTATCAGATGACTATAGCTTTATTGATTTGTCTGTGTCTTCTATTCTATTCCACTGATTTTCTGTATGTTTGATGACTATACCATGCTGTTTTTATCACTATTGCTCGGTAGTATAATTTAAGATCAGGTATTGTGATGTCTCCAGTAATCCTTTTCTTGCTTAGTACTGCTTTGGCTATTCTGGGCCTTTCATTCTTCCAAATGAATTTTAGGAATGTTTTTTCTAGTTCTGTAATTTGCTATTAGTATTTTGATGAGGAATATATTGAATATGTATAGTGCTTTTGGTAATAAGTTCATTTTGGCAATATTAATTCTGCCTCTCCAACAACATGGGAGATTTTTCCATCTTCTTGTGTCTTCAATTTCTTTCTTGGGTTTTTCTAGTTTTCATTATAGTTTTTCAACTACTTGGTTAGATTACTCCCAGCTATTTTTTTAAAGGGGGGCAGGGTTGAATGGACTAATTTTCCTGATTTCCTTCTAAGAAAATTCATTATTTGAATATAGGAAAGCTACTGATTTTTCTCTTTTAATCTCTATCCTGCTACTTTTCTGAATTTGCTTATCAACTCTAGAAGTCTTTGGGTTGAATTTTCTTTGGGTCTTGTATATATAATTACAGATAATTCTCAAAAGAAATACAATGACCAACAAACAAAAAATGTTCAACATCCCTAGCAATCATGGAATATTGAGATTTCATCTCATTCCATTAGGATGGCAATCATCAAAAGAATATAAATAATAAATGCTGGTAAGAATGTGAGGGGAAAGATACATTCATGCATTGTTGATGGGAGTCCAAATTAGTACAACCACTTTGAAAAGCAGTATGGAGATTTCTCAAAAGATATGAAACCACTGTATGACCCAACTATCCCACTCCATGGTATTTACCCAAAAGAACTAAAATAAGCATACTGTAACATACTATATTTATAGCATTCTACAGTGGTAAAGTCTCTAAGTTGTCTGTTACTCCAGGCCTAACTGATCAGTTAAATATTTGCTCGTAATATTTTGGCTCTAGCAGAGTTTTTCTTCCTAAGCCTACAATCAGAGTGATGAAATTTTCCTATGGGAAATGCTTGAAGGTTTTTCTTGTTACATCCATAGCACTCTGATACATTAAAACATGATTTTTTTTTCATTTTTGTTATTTTTAATGTTTTATTGATTTTTTTATGAAATAATAAAGTTCTTTTTGATGTATTCATGCAAGCATGTAATATGATTTATTACATTCCAATCTCTAGTAATTCCATTTCCCCTCCTCTCTTCCCTCTTCCTGCTTCTTCTACTCTATTTCCTCTACTCTTACTGGTATTCCTTCTATTTATTGTTTTTGTCAACTGGCTTTATATATTTATATAACTTAAAACGTTGTTTTATGCACTTATGAATATGTCAAAAAGAGCCTCACTCTTATGTAGAACTATAATGCACTAAAAAGAAAAAAGATATTCCAATAAAAATTATTACTCATGAAAAGTACTCAACAATATTGGACTTTAGGGAGATGCAAATAAAAATCATAGAGAACACTAAATGTTCACTGAAATGACTGAAATATGTCTTAATATCTGAATTTGTAAGGACACCAGTCTGCCAAATTATACGATTTTATCCAGCAGCATTACACAATTCCACTTAAAGGAGTAGAGAAACTAGATGCTTGGAGTTAATCAAGCAAATGAGATAAAAATATAAGAACCTTGAAAATCTCAACAAGCAAGGGGTCAGACTGACTGATCATGGGTTCTAGACTATATAGAAAAGGGAATAAGTACAGGAAGGAGCTGGGTGATTAGAGGGAAATGTGGAGTAGGAAATTTGATGACTTTATGTATGTGAACATCTGAAAATGTTAATTTTGTTCCCATTATTCTACTGTGTTATCCCAAAGAAGATACAGTTCTATTCCAGAAGATAAGAATCAAGAAGAAAACTATAAATGACAATACTTCAATGTACCTTCAATGCTGTACATTTGTACTTTTTCTTCAGGCACAGTGACTGCTTCCCACTGATGATCCTTAAATGTAAAAACAAGTTTTGACAATAAACAGTAGTTTATTCTTAGTTTAAAATATCTTTAAATATCAATTTTTAAGTTATATAAATGATATGATGGTACTAATTTTACAAATTCTTATTCTTACTCCCCCAAAAGAATGACTGTTAATATTTGAGGTTACACTTTTTAAAAATGTTTCCAATCCTTTTTTTCTTCCTTTGAAATATTTTGTGAAGTCATAGTCATTCTTCAGTTTGCACTACTACTACCTATCTCTAGTTGTAAATCATAATACTCATTAATTGATTATCCTTGGATTCAAAAACTGAGCTCACATGAAAAATAGCCTAAGTAATAATGTGTGACTGTCCAAGTGTTTTTTACTAAAATCTGTATAAATAAAATGATACTAAATTTGCAAAGTTATAGTACAAATTATATATTAGCCCTAAAAATATGGGACCATAAATCCTCCAATAATCTTGTGAGGAAAACAATTCTAATTATTTGTTCTTTAAAGAAAAATACTTATAAATGAAGACACATATGAAAATTCCTCCAAATCCTCAATCTCTTCATTAATTCTCTTCACTTCTTTGCCTTAGTTGAAACTGATCATCCCTGAATGGCATCACTTCCTTTCTAGCCTTCTTCAATTAGGGAACTAATTCAGCCATACCTCAAAACTCCAGTGTCAGGAGGAAAGTATTGATACTCTCCTCTCTCTCCAAAGTTCTGTAAAACAAACCTTGCTATTTTGAGACACATGATGAAACAGAACCCCTTTAAAATTAAAAGTGACTTCCTGGAAGCTGCTTTTCTGTGTCTGGGATTTCCTCCTACAGAGAAAGAGGCTGAAGAGCCACCTACTAGCCAGGGAAGACACCAGGGAAACCGACTTATTCTCACTAGCATAGGCTAGCTAATTTACAAAGTATATCTCCTGCCTTTGGTCCCTCAGTACCTCCTCTTTCATAAAAGCCGAGTCCCTTAAGATGGACATTTGAGACAGAAAGGTTTTAGTGCAGCCTTGGTAGAACCTTCATTCCTGGTTAACAATGGCAGCCCTCACTCTATAGCTACTGATTATTACCATCTACCAACTTGAGAGCAACTCTTATCCATATATTGAGATACCCATTCACAGCTTCATTTAAAAAAAAAGTTATAGGAATTTAAAACTAGATTTTTTAAGAAGTAGAAATCATAGTATTACAAGTCTGAACTATGCCTTTACCCAGCTTCAACAGTTTTTAATATTTTGTGGTAACTTATTCCATCATCACCTCTGAATCTGTTTTATGTGCTTTCCTCTTGACCTCAATTTCTTCTTACATCTCCTGCTTGAATATCTGTCTTACATCATCACCTTTAAAAATCTCTAATACTTAAGATAAAGAACCTAAAAAATAAAAATAGAAAAACTCTTCCCTTAAATTCACATTATTCTACCTACTACTATGTACTCTTTCCCTTAATTTGATGTTGGGACTTCTCAACAAAAATTCCAATTTTCCAGGAATGCCTAAACTCTCGTCACTTAAGTGAAACTTCTCTTTTTTGAGTCACTGGTTTTTATTTTACTTAACCTTACAGGAGTATTTCATGGTATTGATCATTTTCTCTTATAAAAATTCCTTTCTTAGTCTTCCACAACACCACACCCTTTTAATTTGTTCTCTTTGGGCTGATTCTTGTATCTTGTAAAAATGCATTTCTTTTTCACAATTCTTCCATACAGACACTCATAAATCCTATGGTTTTATTTGTTATCTATATAAAGACAGCTTCTATAACTCTACTTAGCGATCACTGCTCGCACCTGAGCTTGGGACCAAAATATTCTGCCTACCAGATCTATACAAGTGTCTCCAAATCAACACATTCAAAATTGAACTCCCCATTCTTGACCTACAAAACTTACCCTCCTGTGACAGTATCTCCATCTAGTTAACCAAGTTTTATTAAACATTCTTATTATAAAACAAATCACTAAGTTTGTCAATTCTACCTCCCCCCTTCAGTTTTTCTACAATCCATCCATTCTCAACGTCACCTCCCAAAATCATGCCATTAGGACTTTTCACCTGGATTATTTCAAAAGCCCCCAAACTCCCTCTGATATTGGCCCTTAAACATACATTCTCCCCATAGGGATATCTTATACATGAATGCATAGTACATATCTAATACATAGTTAAGTTCTTAATAATATTTAATGAATTAATGTTACCTCTAAATCATTCTTTGGCTCCACACTACTTTATTTTTCCTAACCCGCCATGCATTATATACACTAAATTATATATCATCAATTCTTTCACTATTTATTTACTTATTTGCTCTGGCAGTCAACATGAGCCCTTGAATGGCTATGAACAAGAAAAAGCAGGTCCCTGATAGCTCATGAATATTACATCCTATGGAGGAAAGTGGACAACAAACCACAAATAAACAAAATGATTTTAAATAGTAACATACTACTACTATAAAAATTCAGAAGTGAGATGATTCAAAATATATTTGAGAGAAGAATCCTCAGCATCTTGATCAGTGTCTAAAACATAATTTATAAATGCATAGTACTTTCCCTATCATATATGATACTATAGTATGGTCTGAATCTCATTAGACCAGGCTGAATGGAGGGAAGAATTAAATTAATAAAATTCTCTTCTCCAAAATGAAATTTCAGTTTCTGAAAGAAAATTCAGTTAAATACTCTCAAAAACACACTAATGAAAACTATCACTGTCCTTGAGAAGTAGAGCTAATCAATGGAATTCGGTTTTAATTAAGAATTCTAAGAAGGTGATCTAAAATTCAAAAAAAATGAAAATATATGGAAATTCTAAGGTATTTGGCTAATGGTTGCTTAGAGTTTACCTGGAACAAAAAGCAGGATTCTATCAAGAAACAGAGTAAAAGCCTTAATATAATATCACCATCCACAACCAGATTAATGTCAATCAAGTCTCAATCAGAATTTGGTATGAGACCACACAATTCCAGATAAAGTATGCTAGTGTACCAAATATTAGGTGAAATATGTTAAGAAACAATGGCTCAAGGATTATCTTCAGGTAAAAAGATCAGTAGAAAACACCACCTGTCTAGAAGGTTTAAGCAAATTCACTTTCAAATGCTACCCTATCAATTTCTCACTGTTTCAAATAGAACATTTTATGAATGAATAAGACTCTTTTTAATGCCATCTGTTAAAGTTAATTTTAAAAGAATGCCTCTGTATTTGAGTAGTTACTGTCTTTTTCTTTTTTAATAATGTTGTGCTGGGGATTGAACACAAATTAAGCACACACTCTGTCACTGAGTTATACTCCCTGGCCCCTCTGCTGTCTCTTCCAGAGTCAACTGACTTTATTCAAGTGAATGTACAATTTTGCATTAACATAATTTATTTCTGAAAGGTGTATGTTAAATTTAGTATTAAAATTTAGGATTAATTTTCTTGTTATAATAAAACATCAGAAAAAAATTCATTTCTAATAAGCTTGGTAGGTTACTATGTTACTCAAAACTACAAGGGCTAACACTGAAATATATTAAAGGAATAACCAGAAAAATAGAAATTCTTAAAGTAGATTCTTAAAAGTACATATAAAAATTTTTATACATACATACAAATACAGAATAATACAAGAGAAATAAAGCTTACATCATTATCTCCAGCAATGTAAAATGATAGAGTCTGGCTCCCAAGATTAAAATCAATCCAAAATTCCTCAAGTTTTTCATCTGATGGTATTTGCAGCTAATAAAATGAACATAAAACTAGTATATACTATATTTATAAAATAACAACATAAAATTATTATATTATATCATGGTTGAATTATTATCTTAATTGGCTTTTTAACTAATTGAATCCAGCAACACTATATTCCATAAAAAAGAAAAAGTGTTCTCTAAATTCTTTCTGAAGGAAAAAAGAAGACTATAGTTTGAAGGGGAAATAAGAGAACAGAACAGCAAGTATAACACTTAAATTTATAAAGAATCAAAGAAAATCCTAGTTCAATATTTTATATAGAAATTAACCTGCTTCAGGAAGTTACAAATACTCAAGTACTAACAGAGGTTGAAAATATTAGTTTGAATATATTTGTGAATGATAAATAATGGGCTTGATTAAGGAAACAGGAGAAAATGTGTAGAGTTACAGCTACACATGTGCTGTATTTTCACAGAATTTTTCCTGGTGTCACTGTCATATAAAATACTAAACCAGCTTATTAATTTCTTGTATCAAATCCCATAATTTATTTGACTTTCCAAAATTAATCTAACAACATGTTTTAAATTTCAAATTTACCTCATATTTATCAAGAAATGCTGACAAACAAGGAAATGTAAAAACCCTGAAATAGAAAGTGGTTTAAAAAGTTAATAAACCTTCACAGCTTAATCTTCTCCAGTCATAGACGCATGCCTAGAATCAAAGAGAAATCAGCCAGTGGTCATAACATTTTAAATGAAATCCTGTCTATCACTTTATAACATCAGTGTTTAATGGGAATTTGTTTGGATAAAGAAAAGCATATTACTTTGAGGATACTACTCAACCTACTAGTTTCATAAAGTAACTATATCAAATATTTTGTGTTTACTATCAAATATGAGCATAAATTCCTAAGTTTCCTTACACTACACTAATACAACAAAAGTTCCATAGTAAAAGTTAAGTAAATAATTCTGATAGTAAAAAAATAACTTCTTACAGTTTTCTTTCATGGTCAAATACTATTTTATACACTTAACATATTATACCACTTAATATTCACAACAAACACAAGATAGGTATTATCAGTATTCTTATAGCTAAGGCAAACTGAGGGAGTACAGTTAAATAATTTGTATGTGGAGGGGTATGTGATGTGTGTATACATATTCATACATATATGTATAAACACACATACACACACACACACACACACACACACACACACACACACACACGGAAGGTGAGAACTTACAATTTAGATCCAGGTAACATGACTTCTTGCATTTAACCCTCACTGTATTTTTCATTTCCTTAGTAAGTAAATACAAACTAATTCATCCACGACATCAATTAAGAAATCAGGCATTACAAATACTATTGTTGTATCATTATAAAAATTATAAAAATTTATTATGTATTTTCTCATGCTCATGCCTGTGATTAAACAATATGTCAATTATAAAGTAATGAGATGATGTCTTTGCTTCATACTTTCATGCTAGTATGTACACGAAGGAGGCAGTTTAAGAAATATATACTTAGATTTTTATTATTCCTCAAACACTAAGTAATAATGAATATGCAAATCTGAAAAACTGTATGAAATTTGGAGGCACAAAATGATTAATATGAATTAAATAGGAATGCACTTTTTCTTCACAAAGTAGAAAGCTAAACAAGGTCAGCAAAGGATTATTTCAGATTACTGGTGTAGTAATTAACTAAATGATGTTACATAAAATATTGTTTTAAATTAAATACCCAAGTTCACTACATACTCAAATATAAAAGAACAAATAAAGTTATATTAATAAAGGTTTAACACTAGATGTTCCCTCTTGAGCTCTATTTATCAGTAAATGGTTGCTTTGAGTTTACCTTCTCTTATCTCCAAGCATGCCATTTACAAGGTTGAGAAATATCCTGCAATCCTAATTTTAAAAAAAGAAAGACTTTTTTAAAAATCATAATCAAACAAAAACATTTGCTTATTTCTATTTCTTTTATTCCACTTACTGTTTCAAATTCAGAGTCTTTAATTCCTTTAAATGCATTAGCAATAAAATCCATTGAAAACCACTGACATGCCAGTTCTTGTCTTTGTTTTTCTGTGGTCATTCTACATAAAGCTTCCACAATGCCCACCTGCAAGTCATAATCTAGAAAAAAAATGTAAATTAATGTATGATTTGAAATTACAAAAATTAATTTATAAAACTACATACATTTTCAAAGGCTTTAGAAACAGAAAGAGAAATATGAAAATGCTGGTATAGTTTATTCATCTTTTGCTATTTTCCTTATTTGGGTTAGATACATTTTATCATTATAATAATTAAACAGTCCAATTTTTTAAAAAACAAGATTACTGATAGAAGAGTAAAATTTTAAAAAGTATTTAGAAGAAACATCTAAATATTCAGACTCTGCTGTTTTACTATTTTTACTAGAGTTGTAAACTGCAGAACAGAAGTATATGAATCACATACAGTAGTATATGAATCACAGAATTTTGTTTTCCTTTTCTTCGACATAATATTTATAATTAACCGATGGTACTTTAAACCTTGATTTACCCAATGTAAATCAGTAAATAACTACATCAAAATTTGCTCATAGGAAACTTTGGAAATAAAATTTAGATTATTTTAGTAAAGATACTGTTTAAAAAGTTTATTTATCCCAGGAATATTAGACCTTCTAATTTCAAAAAATACCATTTGAGGAATTGTTTATCATAAGTAATTCAAAACTATTAGAAAACAACTATTATTAATAAATTACCATTAGGCATAAATTATATTTATCTAATGACAAATTATCTGTGTCCCAAAGACATTTTTGAATTTGTTTACATTAAAGTAATTTAAAATGCATGATTGTATATAAAGAGTTTATAATTCCTTCATATATCACATTATGCTAATATTTTATTAAATATTATTTATAAATTTGAAATTATTTCAAATCTTAAAAGATATACTTACCTCCAGCATCTAAAATTCTTTCACCCATACTACTCCTGTAAATTAAAATAATAGGTTATATACTGAACTAGTATTAATTAAATAGAAATCCCACATGTTTGGGGGGATTCAGTAAAATTTATAATTGGCTAGTATAAATGACTTTTGCAGAAATTTCATGCATATATTAAACCTACAAAGTTTGTATGTTTCAATTATTTAATGCAAGCTCATGGTTGCCTTATTGCCTTATAAAACATTCTTTAAATTCTTGACTTGAACAACTAATAAAAGTAATATAGTACAAATTATTACATGAGTGTTAACATTTCTTGGTTAGAAAGTATTTTCCTTGCATCTTGAGGCATTTTGTCAAGCATGGCATTCATTTTTTTTAAGGTCTAGAAAAGAAAGAAAAAGAATTAACTTTATACTCAGTAAAACATTAACTATTTATATAAACAGGCACATAAACTCAGAAGTTTTTTATCTTAATCACTATATTTTATACAGGGAATGGAACAGGATAAAAGAAAGAATATATGAAAAATTAAATACAAAATGACAAATCATAGATATTAAAAATAGAATATAACATGACTCCTGTACTTAAAGCATTTATACCCTTTGCAAAATGGCAATTATTCTATTGTAAGTTCTATGGAAACAAAAAAAAATTACCTTATTAAATTTGTTCTTATGGTATATGTATGTAAACAGACATAAATATAAGTTATTTTGGCATTCATATATTTAATGATCCCAATATCTTGATAACATAATTTATTTTAGCATGACTATATATATATATAAATCCACATGGTTATGAATTTTTTACATTTAGGAAATATACCAGGCAATGGATTAAGTCAATATAAATACACTCCAAAAGTTAATTTAGTTTAAAATGAAATAAATCTTTAATTTGATGAATTAGTGTAAGATTTCTTTACTTGGAAATTCTTAGGTTTAAAAGACAATCAAATGCGACTTTACCTCCTGCTGAATACAAATATTCACTCTTGAGTCAATAACGAGGGCACAAATTCGAGGTACGAAACTTTCTACTACTTGCTGTTTACCTGAATAAAAGTGTTAAATTGTTGATAAATGTTAATTGTAAATCCTTTAAAAAGGCAGTTTTTTTTTCTTACATCAATTAGTGGAAAGGATGTATTACTGCAATTCTGAAGAAGGGCATCAAGAAGCATGAAATAAACCCATATCCAACTTCTCATTTCAGGAATTTGCTATGCTGTATTTCATAATGTAAATTTTAAAAATAACTACAGAAATACTGCAACAGAAAATGGATAACTTTCCAAAGTAACTAGAAGATAAAATATACTGAGATAAAAAGATATAATTTACTTTCAAAAATCAATTATATAATTGCTGATGCTTTAGGGCTTTTTCCTCCCCTAAAAACGTAAGAATTTAGATGAGGTTATTATGTTAATTGTAAGAAAATCAAATCAATGAAAAGGCAGTGTTAATTATTATTTAAATAGACCACAATTAATTTAAAACTTTTTGGCTTTGAAGATAACAAATAGCTGTATTTATAAATTATTGACCAGACTCAACTGGCATCTTGGGGAAGTCTTACTCAACCAATAAAAATACAGAGATAAAATAACTTTGATCTGACTGCTTATCACAAGACACTTGCTAGTCACAAGTGAAAGGGCATGTTCTGCATTCTCTTGATTCTATCAGATCAAGGGCTGGCAAATTATGGCACACCAACTAAGTCCAACCCACTGTTTTTGTATGGCTATATTTACATATAAGCAGGTACCTACAGAAGACATATGAATGTCATGTTTTATTGAACCAGTGCCAAAGGTGAGCTTCATTCATTCTCTTGTCTTAGTCAGCCATTGTCAGTTATGTGAATTTTTGTTAGAAATAGTAACCAAGTATGCTACTTGCCCTACAACACAGCTGTCCATGGCTTAATAGTGGCAAAGCTTTATTGTGACTCTTTAGACTCAGGACCAAGACTAAACTTTTTCTGAATAAGAATTATCTTTATTATTACTGAATACTGAACATCTCTTGATAACTAGCTTTGATTGTAGAGTTGAAAACGCTGCTTAATGAATTGAGCCCTAAATTATAAGACAAATAGTGCTCATGATGAATTTACACTGCAATAAAGTTGTTTTAATGATAACTAAAGTTGTCAGTGGCAAGTAATACCAAGCTACCTTATACATTTCCTAAACTATTAGAAGTTATGACAAAAAGCAACATCTCCATTCCCACACAAATTTATAGGGCATATTTTTTTCCACACTGTAACTATGGGTCCACCCGTGTTTTTGGACCTTAATATGAATTCAAAGGAAATTTCCCTATTTCAAAGTCCTTTTAATAGGTGCAACTCAGGTGCTTCCCAATACCCTTCAATTGGAAGAGATTATCTATAATGCAATGACATTTTAAAAGGCAAATATTTAAAAAATAACCTAACAGAATTCTGTTAATGAGTTCTAAGTAATAACCATGTTCAATTGAGATCATGCTTATGAACTTATATATTCTGCTTGAAAAGACATTTTTCTAATTTGACATACATAAATTTCCTGAAGGTAAGCATTAGCCAATGAATATATGTAATCAATTTTGAAAATAGGGCACACTAACTTTAAACAATAGTGAAATGTTACCCCCCTCAAAAAAAGAATGCTATCTTTCTCACTAGTAGATCTACGTACTACAAAAAATTCAATTATTTTATTCTCAATTATATTAATAAAACATTTGCAGACATTTGTTTTCTTTGTTATTATATAAGTATCTTCATAATATTCTCATTTTTTTCTCCTGGCCTACAACATCCAAAGTTTTATTATCTTTTTGATCCCTTATAGATAAAAAGTTTCTAACATTAGGACATATTACATGAATTGCAAAATTATACTAAAACTTGCAAAATTATACTAAAACTAACAGTAAGTCATCGTTGCAGCAGAAATGTTTATTTTACCTTCATCATCGATGTCATGTATGACCTAAAAAAAAGTGAATAATATTTAATGTATAATTTATTATCTTCTAATATAAATCATTAAAAATGGTATTAAAATGGCAATTTATATTTTAATTCATAGCATAATTAAATTTTATTAATGAACCATTGAATCAGATAAACCAATAGAAATGTTTTTTGCAATCTAAACAGACTAACCCAACCAAATCATTAATCAATCTGTTATTGACGAATAGAGAACACAAATGATTTTCTAAATAAACACATGCTTTATAACATCAGTTAATTAATGTGATTTTTACCATCAAAAGATCAAATAAGTCTTCTATCATATTTATAACAGCTTCGTCTTTTGAATTTCCTCGACTGAGAATAATCTCTCTGGATTTTTCAAACCAGGTAACCATGTAGAAAAAAAAAACAGGAATTATACATATTAGTTCATTTAAATTCCATTTTAATAAGTTTGAAAATGTATTTTTATTTGTATAGATAGTAAACCTAGGCAAAAAGAGACATTAAAAATAAAAATTTCAGTACTGTATCAAAATAAGTTCATGCTTCTAAACATCTTCTTCATTTTTGTTTTTTGGTTAACTCACTGTAAGATGGAAATGGATGAATCTAATCTAAGTCTAGATAGAAGATCTTTATTTCCCCCTTCAAATTCCTAGTTCAGGTACATTTGTTAGAGTATATGAAAATAAATTATCATTGCAATGTAGATTATTTTGGTATCATTACTATATGAAAAGTTCAGCACTATTTTATTTTAGTCAATTAATTTAGATACTTGAGTACATACTACTTTCCAGGCACCATCCAAGATACTGGTTATACAGTAATTGATATAAAGACAATAATATCCTAAATATTGGCATAGGAGATGGTCAGTAAACAATATAAAAACAAAAATGAAGTTAGTGACTAATAACGGTTAAATAAAAAATAAAGGTCAAAGGGAGACCACAGACCTTAAATTCACATGATTATCAAGGAGCTTTCCTACAATCTCCTTGTGATCTTAACTTTTGTAGCATATACCACAAGTTTTAAAAATATTTATTTTCAAAATTTTGCAGAAATCTCCCAAATTTATTTTTTGACAGTTGGGACCATTTTAATAAAAAGTACATCTTTTATACTTCCCTTACATGCATATTTTACATATTCTATACTTATCTTTTGAACTAGTCCTTGTTTTATCATGGTTTGAAGCCCAGCTTGTCCCAATATGCTGATATTTTTGCCACATCTTCCAATAGAAACCAAAATGGTTGAGGCAGTTTGGATATTCTTTTTATTAAGTTCCTGAAATGAAAAGTATACATTTAAACTTCTATAAAAACAAAGTAGTATAGAATAGAAATTGTGCCAGGAGCATTATACTTATAGTTCTAATCCTCACAAATGCTGAAAGATTACCATCATCTTTATTTCTGAAAGTACCAAGCACTGTGTCACATTAAAAACGCACTGATCAGGGCTGGGGTTGTAGCTCAGTGGTAAAGCATTTGCCTTGCATGTCTGAGGCACTGGGTTCAATTCTCAGCATTGAATAAATAAAATAAAGGTCTATTCACAACTAAAAAATAAATAAAAGCATGCTGATAAGTTTATTTAAAAAATATCAAGTTGTTTAAACTAAAAACAGGTAAACAGTGTTTTCTTACCCCCCACGATTATGCTGGACACAATAAAAATTTGATGAAAAAATTGAAGTCAACGTTAAAATGTTATTATTAAAATAATACTTTTACACAAGATATAAAAAACCCAGCATATCTGACTACTAAGTTCTTAGTGGGACTTAAATAGTAAAGAAAATGACATAATATTTAACTGCATAATATTTAATAATGGTAAGAGTTCAATGTGTTAAAACTCCTCAAATGAAAAATAAAAAAGCAAATGGTAAAATAAACATTTATCTATATAATTGCAAGCAATATTTCCTAAGCCTCTTCATTTTTTTCTAATGGTGTACTTCCTAGAAAATAAAAATCCAACAATTTTAACAACTTTATGCAAAAATTAATATTTACCCTGCATATAAGGTCATCCAACTTGTGGAAAAACTGTTTACTGCATTTAATCTTCACATCTTCACATATATCAATTTGTAAAAGGGTTTTCAAAGATTTGAAATCATTTTTTCTTAAAGCATCATCAATGCACTTTTCCAACTGCTAGAGAAATACAGTTAATGGCACATATATTAAATCAAAACCAAAATAGTTCCCTTATGCATTCTAGTAATTTGAGAATTATTTTCACACAAAACCTCTCAAACAAACTAATAATTCAATTTTTACAAAACCTACCCACTATTAAATCTGAAGTAACTGAGAGATTAACTTTATCTGTTAACAAAATTCTAGGTAAGAAAAATATTTCACAAATATGGCCTAATTAATCTTTTATTGTTAGAGTCACCATTATTATACTGGACACAATGAAAATTTGATGAAAAAAGTGAAATCAACTTTTAAATAATATTTTAATACCATAGATAAAATTAGCATATCTGACTACCAAGTTCTTAATGTGATTTAAATAGTAAAGAAAACTGCATAAAGATAGGCAAAAACACCTTTTAAAAACTATACCAATCAATATAATTTAAATAGTACTCTTATGTAATATTTATAACGTTTACAAAACTTGCCTTCTCTCCTCTTTAGTATAATTTCAGTAATGAGTTTTCATAATTCAAGCTGACCACTAAGCAGACTTGATGTTGAATCATATACAATGTAAATAGATTTTATTAAAACTTAAACCACAAGTTTAAAAAGTTGATATAAAAATATCCAGGCATACTACTATGACTTAAATTAGTGTGTAAGTAAAAGGTATATGTATAAAGAATCATTATCTTTAATATCCTACATTTTAATATGATTTTGAAAACATATCTATTAAATGAATGAAAGAAAATATTTATGTAAATTGATCTACTCTAACCATTTCATAAAAACATGGAAGCTTAGTTACTGCTAAAGATTATAGCACTGAAACTGGGTGTAGCATCTTGCACGCTATAATCCCAGTGGCTTGGGAGGCTAAGGCAGGAGAATTTCAAGTTCCAGACCAGCTTTAGCAACTTGGTGAGGCCCTGTCTCAAAATGAAAAAAGAAAAAAAAAATGGCTGTGGCTGTGGCTCAGTGGCTGAGAGCCCCAAGTTGTTCAATTCTAGTACTGGGCGGGGGGATGGGGGGGTAGTGAGAGAGATGGAGGGAGGGAGAGAGAAAGAGAGAATGAAGATTGACTGAGATTATAATACTGAATATGTACAATTACATGAAAAATGATTTTAGGAATTAAAAGACTTCCTTCTGTTCTCCAGGACTACATACCTGAAGATCTGGTCGTATTGGCATTTTTGTCTTTGTTTAAAAAGAGCAGGAGAAAGCAAATACCTATAAAAGAAAATATTTTCTGTGCCTTATAATCTGTTTCATGTGTTTATAGTTTAATAATCTTAACATGCATAAATGAATATCGCTACTTATAGCAAAGGCAATAAATATAGTTTACATTCCTCACTAGATATTTTTCATACATGCTACTTATACCAAAGGCAGTAAATACAGTTTAAGTTCCTCAGTGGATATTTTCATATTTATCAAATTATATATCTAGTCAAAAACATTTCTAGAGAAAAGTTTAAAGATCATTTACTCAAATCCTTTTTAAAAATAGATTATTTAAATTAATATCAAAGAGTCCTGCCAAAAGACACAAAGCTAGTTAGTAAAAGAAACCTAGGTCTTCTTCACCAGTGATTCCTACTATATTGTTCTACATTGGGGAATGAGAAGAAAAATATTCTTGTATTAATATTTGACTGAAATTTAGGCTAATAATAAATTATTCAGGAAGAAAGAATACGCAAATCCATTAAGAACAAGACTGATTAGAACATACAAATATACAAGGAAGAGTGAGGAAAAGGTAACCCAAGTACATTTTATATGTGAAAGAATGTTCAGAAAAAAGAGAACCTTAGTTTCTGGCCAAATGCCCAAATCAAGTAGAGAGTATCACTTTCCCAAAGTAATGTGGATCCCTTAAGACATGGGATGCACATACAAATGACCACCAAAAATTAATGTTTAAAGGGATGCATTCCCCAGGTTCTAAAGTGAGATTCAATGCTCCTGAAAACATGACCAAAATAGATGATGCTTCTTCAAACAATCCTATTTAGGGAGTTTTTAAAAAGGAGAAAGTCAAAGGTTATTTATTTTTCCTTCCCTGAGCACTATGGGATTAATGATGCTGGCAATGGAGAAGAAAACATAGATCACTGCTATAGTCATACTCAAAACCTAATATGATGTTTCATTTTGTAGAATGTGAAGAAGAATTGTGTCTACCTTTTACGGAAAAAGCAGCTGAAAATTAATGTGTGTCAGTGGTGTTTCTGAGAGTATTAGTGTATAATAACTTTCATTGATTATGCTCTTTTTTACCATATAATTTTAATAATTACAGAAAATTTTAAAAATATGATATATTGGTGTCTGTGTACCTAGCAAGAACATCTCAGCATGCTCTATAAAATAAACACTTCTTATTTAGAAAATAACACAATCATATTTTCCCTTCAAAGGGGAATAGAAAAAGAAAATAGCAGAGTTGTATGAAACACCACCTGCCAACTCAACAAGAGTATCTTAACATCTTCAATGGCATCTGGAGGTCGGCTCAGAAGAGAAAATAATAGCACCTTTTTTCCAAATTGTGACTAGAATAATTTTAATAATCTATATTGTGAAGAACTTTGTATCAGAATCAGCAAGAAATCCAACACAGAGAGGCAGTTAATTAAACCATGAGGATTTTATAATTATGATTTCATAAAACAAGAGTAATTAGTCAGTTTATTTTTTTTGTGGACACAGCAGTAAAAAAACTGAAGGCCACAAAAGACACATGAGACATTGGAAAGACATGGTTATAAAACCAAGCAAAAATCTCTTGTATTTCTAAATGAATTAAGATTAACTAAAGGGGGAAACTGATCCCTAGGGAAATAATTGCTTCATTTGCATAAGAAATTGGTTATAGTGATAATTTACAGAAGCACTTGAGTGGCAAAATTTCAAAAGCATTTAGATAGAAAGTGAAAATGGTAGGCAAAGTAAGGAATAATGGATTTTGGTATATGATAATCATTGTTTGAACAGTTAAATAAAATCAACCAGAAGGATATCTTCTTTTTTAAAAAAATATTTATTTTTTTAGTTGTAGTTGGACACAATACCTTTATTTATTTTCATGTGGTGCTGGGAGAGCGCTCCACTGCTGAGCCACAACACCAGCCCTTAGGAGGATGTCTTCTATAAAACAATTTTAAATGGCTTAAAATGTTGGCAAATAACATACAGTGAAATGCCATTCATGTGAAAAATAACTTTGCATTTATTGATTATATCTATATATTCACATACACAATCTTGCTTCATAGATAGAAAACATGAAAAATAGAGAAAAGTATACTCAAGTGTGGAGGTAAGAAATAAACATTGGAAGTACTGATTAATGAAGAATCACAAGAGAAGTTAAGGAAGCTAGAGAGCACTGAGCACCCACTGCAACTGTTACACAGACCTGAGAGCTTAGGGAGCAGCTCTTTTTCTTGATATATAAAGATCAGGTTGAGGAAATAACCCAGAATATTATAAAGAAATGATAAAATACATATTAGAAAAAGTTGAAAAATCAAAGAGAGATGCAGTTACTCCAATAGGTATACAGTAAGAGTTCTAGAAATTAACAAATCCAGAAAAATTAGGAAGGGAGTAACAGCTAATAGCCAAGAACTTTCAAGAACTAAATATACAAGTTGAAAATGTCCACTAAATCCCAAGAAGATCAATAAAAAGAACACCTAGACAAACTGTGATGACATTTATAAGAATAAATGAGAAAATCTTAAGTTATCAAAGCAAACAGACAAAAGCATGCAAAATAATCAACACAATACTTGGCTCTCTGATCATAATGCAGTAAATCAGAAATCAGATACAAAGGTAGCTTCAAAGTATTAGATATTTGAAAACATACATATATATATATTTGAATAGTCCAGATATAAAAATACAGAAATCACAAAAATATATTAGTGAATAAGCAAATGTCTTCATATGAAAACCTATAGAGAAGAACTTAAATTATCACTATTTGCAGATGACATGATTCTATACCTAGAAGACCCAAAAGGGTCTACAAAGAAACTACTAGAACTAATAAACGAATTCAGCAAAGTGGCAGGATATAAAATCAACACGCATAAATCAAAGGCATTTCTGTATATCAG